AAAAGAAAACAACAAACAACCCCATTATAAAGTGGGCAAAAGATATGAACAGACACTTCACAAATGAAGACATCCGAGCAGCCAACAGACACATGAAGAAATTCTCAACCTCATTAATCATCAGGGAGATGCAAATCAAAACCACACTGAGATACCACCTAACTCCAGTCAGAATGGCAATTATCAACAACTCAAAAAATAACAGCTGCTGGAGAGGGTGTGGCGAAAAGGGAACACTTCTACACTGTTGGTAGGAGTATAAACTAGTGCAACCTCTGTGGAAAGCAGTGTGGCGATTCCTAAAAGCTCTAAATATCAACCTCACATATGACCCCGCAATCCCCCTACTGGGAATATACCCTGAAGAACTCAAATCACTCTATAAAAAAGATACCTGCACACGAATGTTTATTGCAGCATTGTTCACAATAGCAAGAACCTGGAACCAACCACACTGTCCATCAAAAGAGGACTGGATTTAAAAAATGTGGTATATATACATGATGGAATACTATGCAGCCATAAAAAAGAACAAAATCATGAATTTTGCAGCAACCTAAATGGAACTAGAGTCTATGATACTAAGTGACCTCTCACAGAAACAAAGATCTGAGTCCTACATATTCTCACTCATATAGTGGACCTTGATCATCCAATGCACTACTATAAGAAAATGACTGACAGTGTTGGGAAACTATGGGGGGGAGATGGGACTAATGGTAGTAAACATCTGTCTGGAGAAGGGGAGACACCAATTATCAACAAGGGGGCCTGAATGAAGCATATTTGTATACCTAACCCTTGACTGTACCCCCACAATATCAAAATAAAAAATATCGATTATAAAAAAGGAAAAAAAAAAAAACAAGTGGATGATAAAGAACGACAAATATATAGACTTTGCAGCAACCTGGATGGATTTGGAGTCTATCATACTCAGTGATTTATCTCAGAAACAAAGAACAGAGTTCCATATGTTGTCACTCATAAGATGATCTTGAACAATTATAATGCTATAAGAAAGTGATTGGCAGTAATGGGAAACTGTTGGGGGGGGTGAATTGGCAGTTGAGGGAAACTGCTAGGGGAGGGAGGGGCATACTTCATTAACAGGGGTACCTGCATGATCAATGTTTGTATACCTAACCCTGAATTGTACCCCACATCTTTACAATAAAAATTTTTTTAAAGTTAAAAAAAACACAAAAAATAGCAATAAAGACTCAAAATGCTCCTCTTAAAGACCAGTAAAATGGACAAAACTCTGACATATTATCAATTCTAAATCAATATATCTGACATTTATTAGGTACTCACAACTTGCCATGCATTTCGCCAAGTAATTTATAAAACCTTATCTCGGTCCTCAAAATAATATTATTAGAGTCATTCATTTATTTATTTAATAAAAATTATTAAGTATTAACAATATACCAGACAATATGCCACACTGGGTTCACACGGCTAAACAAAAGAAACAATTCCGCTGCCCTAAAGTCTTTTGCATTTTGGAGGGATAAATATACAGCTTCAGTTTACAGATGGAAAAACCAAATTCAGAGAACTTAGGCAACTGTCCTAAGGTCACATAGCAGGTTTCCCTAAAGGTCCATGTTCCTCACCTATATATATAATGCGACTTCTGTGGGGGGGAAATACAGAAAACATATACACATGCTATTAAAATTACGAAGAATATACAAAGATCATCATTATATCACAGCAAATATTTTTTGACACATACTCTGTGCCAGATGCTTTAAATCATTTGATGTTCAGATCTTCTATTGACCTAGCTAGTAATATTTCCACCATATTTCACAATTGAGGAAACTCAATAAATGAGATGGTAAGTAAGCTATAGTTGGAGAGCTGTGTTTACATCCAGGAAATCTAGCTGTGGAGCCAATAGTCAACTGCTATAATGTGTGACTACATACAATCAAGTGATTTTTCAAAGGCTTTAAACAATTGTTATTTATATAACTCACTGCAAAAATATTGTAATTATGGATGAAATGGCTGATATTTTAGTGAAACATGGATCACCAAAGTTGACACAAGCAGAAAATTAAATACGACATAATCAAGGGAAACACGGTCAAAAAACTAAGCCCACTGAGAGTGGCCGACCCAGGTAGGTAACTGTTTGTGAGAGTTCTATCAGCAGTAAAAAAAAAAAAAAATCCCATAATTTCTCCACGATTTAAATTGACACTGAGTATAAGAGATGGGGACATTCTGGTATATTTGCCAAAAGATCCTTCATCACCACAATGCCACTTCTGTCAAAGCTATCTATAAGAAAACTGACCATGAACTCACCCACACATAAGCACACACACAAACAACCCCAATAAGATACAGTCTTGCCTTTGAATATAGATGCAAGGATCCCAAATTTAAAAAGTTATGAATCAGTTCTTGTATGCATAAAAATAATGATACGCCGAACTGATGTGAGAGTTGTTCTAAAATGCCAGGTTTACCCTTTCTGGATACTGAATATGTATACCTAAACAAACCACAAAAATTGCCAACTCCTTAATCCAGAAATTTAGATTTTGTATTTTATTCCCAAGGAACAAGTCACAAAGGAGTTCCAAGATATACAAGAGTGGTTATCATAGTATTGTGTGTAGTAGTGATCAACGAATCGCTCCTGTAAGAAAAATGATACAAAACTATCTCAAATTCAGGATTTATAATCCACAGTAGATTGTTACAAGAAATATAATTCGGATACACAAGGAACTTTGTTACTTAATTTAAAAAATCCTACCTGGCTACCTGAATAAGGACTTTCTGAAGAGGAGGCATTTGGGACGGGTTTTTAAACGATATGATTGAAAACACTGAGAGCTGTGTTTCTGGATCAAGAGATATGGAATAACATAGCAAAAAATAAAACTGAATCGGGTGACTGGGTCTGGAGCATAAAGTGTATTAAATATAGATAGTACTAAATGAATTCGTGGGACAGACCTAAAAACACGGAACAGATACAAGGATGTGGGAACAAATTATGTGACAAAAGCAACATTTCAGATATTGTGGGAAAAGGAATTTTACTTATTTAACAATACTGAAATGATCATTGTGGCCCCTATCTCACACCAAACAACCGTGATTATAGTCTAGATGGATTAGAGATCTGAACATTTTAAAGTCGTAAAAAATGTTGCAAAAAATGCTACAGAAAATACTGACAAACTTGGGTTTGGAGATAATTTTCTAAACAGGAAAATATTCAGAAGCCATGAAGGAAACTGTTGTCATGTTTGTTTCTCCCAAATAAGCAAATGAAATTGTATCACAGACACTATCCTAAGCTAACAATGCATTGGGGAAGAATATTTCTGAGAAACAAAGTCTTAATGATCCCTACTACACAAAGAACTCTAAGACATTAAACAACACAAATAAGCAAAAAAAAAAAAAAAAAAGCAGGAAGAATAATGTAAGCAAACAATTCACAGAAATGCAGAGGCAAATGACCAATAAAATTATGAAAAGATGTTCAACCTTCTTAGGATTTGGGGAAATATTAAGTAAGTAATAAAATACCATTTTTAAAATTTTCGATACTAACAAAAATTCAGCAGCTTGGTCACATACAATACTGGCAAACACGGGAAAATAGTAGCATATTACCAATAGGTGTAGGGACTGTGCTGAATTTTTGAAAAACAATCAGGCAGTACTTATCACAATGAAAAATGTACGTGCGTTCTGATCCATCAATCCCAGCTTTGTGAATGTCTGCTGGAGAAAATAAAAGTAATAGCACATGAGATATGTGCAAAGTTGTCTAGAACAGCATTGATTTTTGGTTAAAATAAAGAAACAAAGAACTGGAAACTGACCTATCCCCCTTCTGTACCTGGAGGAAATTAAATCACTCAACAAAAAATGATACCTGCACATGTATGTTTATTGCAGCACCGTTTACAATAGCAAAAACATGGAACCAACTGTGTTACCCGTCAAAACTGAACTGGATTTTTTGGAAAATGTAGAACACATACACGATGGAACATTACACAGCCATAAAGAAGGGACTTCGCAGCAAATTGGATGGATTTACAGTCTATCATACTCAGTGATCTATCACAGCAACAAAGAACTGAGTGCCACGTGTTCTCACTCATAAGCGGCCCCTGAACATTTACCATAATACTATAAGAACGGGATTGGTAGTAGCCGGAAACTGCCAGGGGATAGGGGGTGGGGCACACAGCATCAATAAGGGTACCTGATTTCAAACCAGGTGAAGTGGGGATCAAAGGGAGGCCCAAACTCTACCTGTATGATGACCACATGTATACCCAACCCTGGATTGTACCCTACATCTTTAACACAATTTTTTTTTAAAGAAACAAAACAGAACTATGCAAAATGTTTAACTACAGGGCAGTGGATTAAATCTGGTACCTCTATACGAAGGAATCATATGCAGCCATTTACCAGAAGAGGTCAGTCCAATATTTACTGAGTATGGTATCTTGACAATAAAACGACAAGTCTACAATATTTACACTTTTAGAGAAACATAACCAAAAGAACTCATCATACATGTGAATATGTGCTTTATAGGGTCAAGGTGGGAGGGCACACCTAAACTGCATTTGTTGTTGCAGAAAGACTTTCAGAGGTGTGGACAGAACAAGTTTTCGACGCATGTGATTCACGACCCAGCTTACTCCTGTCATTTCAAAAGTAGAATATGTTTTAAAAATAGGGTATCGTGTGTCAAAGTGTGTAACGCATTGTCTCTGAATTGCTTTTCTGAAATAGGCAAGAAAGGGAAACGATCCTTTCAGAATCCGACTACTTACCAGACAATCCACCAGGAAAGCGAAGGCTGTAGAGCGCATGGCTCTTAATTGTGATTGCATTTTATGGCGCGCAGCCGATTAAGTGCTTAAACTACCAGATAACAGAATCGATGTCCCTGAGAGCGGGAAGCGTATTCACGGCATTTTTCCTCCCTGTTGTAGCCCCGTTCCAACGATCACATGGATGAAACTCAATGGCTACATTCCCAATAAGGCACGTCTGCGGAAATCTCAGGCCGTGCTGGAAATACCCAATGTGCAGCTGGACGATGCGGGCTTATATGAGTGCAGAGCTGAAAACTCACGCGGAAAAAACTCCTTTCGTGGACAGTTGCAAGTGTACAGTAAGTGTTTTCAGCAAAACCTGATCCTCTCGTCCCAAGAGTCAAACTGAAAATGCAAATTAACGTTAACTCAATGTGGTTTGGTAGGCACACAAAAGCTAAGTAATCATTTATAATCATACTGCTTTTGCATGGTAAAACATCATGTGAAATCTCCCTACCCATAGAAATGCTTTAAATTAAAAATCAGTGGGGAATGATCAGTCTCCTTGTGAAGGCTGCAGAATTTACATCTTTCTTTCTTTTTTTTTTTTTTGAGTTGGAGTCTCACTCCGTCGCCAAGACTGTAGTGCAGTGGCTGC